GTTTTAGATAGACTTTCCACAGGATTATTTTTCTTTTCAAGCAATGTGTGTTTCATGTACAGCTTTTCTATCATTTTGTGGAGTCCAAAAATGACTTTTGCAAGGCTTTTTTTTTCATCAGAAGGTTTTGTGTGAGGAGGAGAGCAACAAGACTACAGCTCGGAAGCAGGCGTCTGTCTATTATTCTCGCACATTTCATGAGGGAGACATTAAAAATGCCATAACTTTCACTTGCAATGCCTTTTGCATTCCTGCATGTGCTGTTTCTGTGCTCCCTAAAGGGTTTTATAAAAATTTACCAGCCTAGTAAAGCTTTTGTGCAGAAGTCATACTTTTATTAAATCCCAATAACATAAAGCTGTGAAAAGTCATAATATTGTGTGTGTTTGTTATTATCAGGGGATGGTCCATGTTGGCACTCCTCTGTCAAACCTTTTTGAATGGCACTGTTATCCAACTTCTATGCTATAAACAGTTGCCACTATTCTCACTCTAATAACAACTTGATGAAAGGCAAAAATCTGCAAGTAGCATAACTGATTTTATTGGAATAAACATGTTTTAAGTTTACTTCCATGAAGCAGCCCTGAAAGCAGCTAAGGAGGCACTATTTGAAGTCAGGACCCACAGTTTAAGATGCAGTGTGCTATATCATAGTAGTTGATATTATGTAATATTCTGGTAAGGTTTAGATATATGGCAGAAAATTTAATGCCCACAAAGCAAAACTCAAAAACCTGTCTTTTTATTTTTTAGATATTTTTGTTTGTGTAGTTTCTTCATTTTATTCTGTAATTAGTAAGTAAAAATAACAAATAATATCTGGGAATGGAAAGTGAATGAGATGGAATAGACTGAGGGGAAATTCTTCTTGAGGGTGGTCCCACACAGGGCCGTAGCCAGAAAAAAATTTCGGGAGGGGTTGAAATTTTCGGGGGAGGGGGTTTGAAATTTTCGCGGGGGGGGGGGTTGAAAATTTCATGGGGGGAGGGGTTGAAACCTGCCTCCGAGCTCACGCTGAAGCAAAGCGCACAGCAGGGGGCAGAGCAGCCTTCAATAGTCTGCAGCTCCGCCCCTGTCAACCACCTCCATCAAGTCTGGCCTCCTTAATGAGAACATTCAACACACACACCCCACAATGACAGTAATAATAATAATAATAATAATAATAATAATAAACCTTTATTTGTACCCCGCTACCATCTCCCGGAGGACTCGGTGTGGCTTACAAGAGGCCGAGCCCAAATACAACAGTAAAAACAACAACAATACAGTAAAATAACTCAAAAACAAGGCAATAACATTAACAACACACCATGACGCAATTAAAATCTGTGGCAGGGCCAAATGTAATAATTAAAATTAAAAAGTGCTGAGCATGATCAGGTGAAAAAGGTAGGTGTTTGGAAGGGCATGGCATGGGCATGCAGTTATCCTGGCTGGGGCTTGCCTGATGTCCTTAGGGAGAGAGTTCCAGAGTCGAGGGGCCACCACCGAGAAAGCCCTATCCCTTGTCCCCGCCAATTGCGCATGCGATGCAGATGGGATCGTGAGTAGGGCCTCTCCAGATGAACGAAGAGATCGTGTGAGTTCATACATAGAGATGCGGTCACGCAGGTAGACAGGGCCCAAACAGTGTGAATAAATTGTCAATATTTGCCCGAGATAGTGCTTGCAGTTCTGGAGGGACTCTTAATTTTTTGCATCTCATAGACTTAGCATGGGGATTTGGTTAACCAGTTAAAATTCATGAGTAAACCAGGTTTTTTAAAAAAATCTGAAACATTTCGGGGGGAGGTTGAACCCCTAACCCCCCCCCCCCCTCGCTACAGGCCTGGTCCCACACATAACTTTAATCTGGGCACAATCGGGTGTGCTGATTGCACCCGGGTTAAAGTCCATACCCTCCTCCATCATCTGTGCATTCTGGGGGGTGGGGGTGTCCAGATACCCTGCCGGGCTTTCCAGCAAGATACCCATACACAAAACCCCCCCCCCCCCCCAGAAAAGCCTTAAAAATCAAAAATAACTTACTCGGTTGCCATTCCCCCTTCTCCGGAGCTCTCCTATCATGTAGAAATGACATAACAGGAAAGCTCTAGAGAGGGGAAAATGGTGACCAGGTAAGTCATTTTACTTTTCCTCCATTTTTAAGGGATTGTGTTGATGGAGTGTGAGCCTTCTCGGGTATTCCAGGCTGATTGAACCAGGAAAATGTGAGAGATCTGTGTGGGCGACCCCCTCGGAAATTCCAGAACTTTTGAGGGGGCAGACTAGACAGCAGCCATACTAGGTTTGCTGTGGGTCTTTCAGGAAGACCCAGGGTTTTCCTGCTTTGTCCCGAATGCATTTGAATGGGGCATTGTTTGGACACTATTTAGATGTGCCTTCAGTGATACAAGTGAGAAGTGAAACTGAAATCTTATACCTTGATTACTAAGGAAGAGAAACTAGACATTTGCTTTCCTCTTTTTTTTAAGCCACCTTTTATTTCTTTGAAGTGCACATACATTCTTACAGTTTTAAATCATATTTGGTTGCAAGTGCCAAAAATTCAACCAGATATAGTCTCAATGCGCAAATTAAAGCAGTCTTATCCTTCTCGTTGAATTCCTTTTTTTACGAAACCAAGTAAAAGTTAGTAACAAATGTAACAATGTCTTTAAAAACATTGTACTCTACTTGTGTGACAAATTGTGGATCTGCAATATTTGCTCTGAATTCATTCTGAAATGTCTTGTGGCAGAGCCTGGCTGCCGGTGGAGGGGAGGCGGCCTCTATGGAGCCAAGAAGCTCCCTCAAAGCCCAGGAAAGGAGGCTTTGGGGCCTGAAGGGGCTGGCAAGAGGGGGTCATCCAATATGGCGAGTATATCCAAAAATTGAAAATTTTAATTGAAAAGTTGGGGGGTAGTCTAATGCGCCCAGTTGCCTAGTACTCCGGAATATACGGTAATTGCGCATAATTACTACAATTGGGGAAATGTCAGGGGCTTCTTTCTCCCTCCTTTTTAGAGCTATTGGGGTGAAACTTGCTACAATGGTAGAACACATTTACCACTGAGGGATCTGAGGGTTATTTTATACTATAAAACTTTATTATTTTTTAACCCGCTCTCTAGCCCCAAGGGGACTCAGGGCAGCTTCGAAAACATTTCCAGGCAAATACATGAGTATATAAATGGTCATACATTTCCTTTGTTTGTAAAGAGCAGACACTTTGCCCCTTAATATGATATTGTTGAAACTCCTATATACTTTTCATTGAAAAGTAAATTTGGGAAACTGAAATATCAAATGCATACGATACCCTATTGATTGCATTATTTGCTTTCAAATTTATATAGACATTTTGCACCTCAAAATCCATGGAAGAGGGCCTTCAAAGCCTTTTCCCATGGCAGGTTTTCCTTGTCATCTCATTTTTTCTCTCAGTAAAAAACAGAACATCAATGTGACTGATGGAACTATTTCTAAGGTGAAATTTCACATACACCCCCCAAAAAAATTGGAGACAGAAAGTCTGCCTCCATCTATATACAGATTCATATGCAAAAATTTTTACATAGAGTGCTTTAATAACTACCTTACCAGAAATATGCTTGTGGTGAGCGAATCTTCAAAGTATTCTAATTAGCTTCCCAAGAACTAACCCCTTTTACACAAAGTTCTCTTTCTTAACCTACACCTCTGTTCTCTCTCTCTCTCTCTCTCTCTCTCTCTCTCTCTCTCTCATATATATATATATATATATATGTATGTATGTATGTATGTATGTATATAGAATGTCTGAATTAAAAGTTTGGAAATAGTTCAAGGAACCAAGATTAATAAAAGTAAAAGCTTTTGAAAAACCTTTCTTCCCTTAGTTTTCTGCTACATTCAGTAATATTGCATCACTTTATTTCACATAATACCCCTAAGCCTAAGCCTGCCAAGACACGTGTGGGCTTTCCACCTACATAGCCATGAAGTCAACAGGAAATAGAAAGTTACCTGGAAAGGCCAAGAGCTTGAACATTGTTCCCATCCTAAATATCTCAGTGTCATCTTAGATCAAACACTAACAATAACAAAACTCTGTGCAAACACAAAGTAGCTGCACACAATAACATCCTGTGGAAAATTACTGGTAGCACTTGGGGTGCAGACTCAAAATTAATAATAACATCAGCCCTGGCCTTATCTAACTCAACTGCTGAGTATGCCTGCACTGTTTGGCACAAGTTTGCCCACATGAAGCAGGTGAATATAGCGCTGAATAAAACATGTAGAATAATCATAGGATGTCTCAAGCCTACACCAGTTTATAGACTCTATAAGGTAGCTGGCATTGCCCCCCCTCCCCCATGTCAATTGCGAGGAAAATGAGGCTGAACACTGTGAAAGCTACCCAATGCATGGCTATCAGCCTCCTTCCTGTACACTCAAATCAAGGAAAAGTTTCATGAGAACCACCACTCCTTTTAATGTTCCTCCAGCAACAGCAAGAATATCCCTCTGGGCAGCTAACCAGGAAATCCCAATTGGAGGGCCCTCCATGAGAGTCTGCCTCAAGGGGCAAACCAAGAATGGGAAACTTGGAAGTCCCTGAACAAACTCAGAAGTGGTGTTGGGAGATCAAAAGACAACCTGGCAAAATGGCACTACCTAAAAGAATCTTCCACTTTGTGCGATTGTGGAGCAGAACAAACAACTCCACTTCTGTATGCTAGCCCACAATGCCCTGCCTCATGCACAGAGAAAGAAATGTTTAAAGCTACAGACATTGTGGTAGCTGTTGCCTATTTTTGGTCTAAATCATTTAGCCACTAGTGTCCCCTCTATTTTATCAGTTTTGTACTTGTTTATTTATGTAATGCTTTTCACACACACAAAATAAATACATAATACCACAGCAATTGGTTGCAGAATTGACGCGTTAACAACTTCCTGAAATGTAGGTGGGATCAAGTACTGATATGAAACAACAGATACTATGAACTGTTTCCTGTGGCATCCAGACAACCACACTGACTCTGTGCAGGATATTTCTACAGACTGAATTTCTAAGGATCCTGAAGATTGCAATCAAAGTGTCAGGTAATTATTCTCCTTTTCCTCACATTTTTCTCTGCTAACGTTTGAGAAAGATTAAAACTACACATTTTGCATGTAAGACAATAATTGCATAGCAGACATAAATGACAAATAGTTGAACAATGAGTTCAAATCCTGAATGTCTTATATATATTTCATACCATATTTGATTTATCTTGCTTTATTGCCACTGGTGTGATGTTATATTGTGTAGTTGTAAGCACTGTGCTTTTTTCCTTATAAGCAACTTCCAAAAATGGAGGATCAAATTAGAAAATATATAGAAAACTATTTATTGGAACTTACACACAGGCAGAGACAGAGAAGACACAGAGAACCAGTTTTGCAGGATATAACTATGCAGAGAATAGCAATGAAGGAAAGCACAGCCTGATATGTTCACATTAAAAATCACCTCTCTTGCCCATTACTTTTCCAGCTACTGTTTTTGTTATTAAAATAATGTGATGGGGAACTAGTCAAGCAGATCTTTGCTAAAACTGCTTGTGTCTAATTTTCAGTAAACAGAGCAAAGCAAACCACAGAGAGGCAAAGGGAAATTGCAAACGAAAATTTCTTCCCTCTGTAGCCAGACAGGAGCAGGTTACAAACCTGACTGGGAGAGGATGAGTAGAAGGGCAACTGAACAATAGCAAATATGAGTCCTTTATGGACATTTATTATTTGAGCGTTGAACTAGGTTTGAAATACCTGTTGAGCCATGAAGCTCACTGGGTGACCTTGGGCAAGTCGCACTCATCAGCCTCAGAGGAAGGCACAGACAAATCTCTCCAGTCAAATCTTGTAAGAAAAGCCCATGATAAATTCACCTTAGGGTCACCATAATTTGGAAATGACTTGAAGGAGCACATCATATTCACATATCTTTGTGTCATTTAGTTGGCTACAAATGAAAAGTAATCTTCTGTTTTCATATGTTAGAATATTGTAATACTGGATTTACATAGCAAGCATGAGATAACAGACATGTATACAATTTGGGAACTTGAGACACAGCAGAAATCTGAAATTGTCTAAACAATACATGAATGCTTTCATGTCAATATGGAGAACGTGTTACTCATGCTGGTGGCATATGCAGAAAGAAAGCTTGGAAATGGAAGAGCTAAACCAGTTGCTGTTTTCTGAATGAATAATTATGCTTTGCTTGCAATATACTTATCTTTGATACTTAATTTAAAATTCTCTTTGCAGCAATGCCTGATAATGGTACATGCCAACTTCCTATTGATGAACTCTTTGTGATTTTTGAAGCCGTTTTTTACAGCCTATTCACTTTGTTTGGGATCATATTCAACACAGTTGCCTTATGGGTGTTTTGCTTCAGATTCTGCAAATGGACAGAGACTAGAGTTTACATGATCAGTTTAGCCCTTGCAGACTATACGCTAGTCCTCACCTTACCATTCATAATGTATTTTCACAAAATGGAGAGGCCTGCTGATACTTTTTGCATAGTCATCCTTATAATACATTGCATCAATATGCCAATGAGTATCAGTACTATCACACTAATCGCAGTGGACAGATATGTTGCAATCAAGCATCCTCTGAAAGCCAAAGTAATACGGTCTCCAAGGAAGGCAGCCATCATCTCTTTATTTTTTTGGATCTGTTGTTTTATTTATGGAATTACACTCCTTTTCCATTCAAATGAAAAAGGGATTTGTTTTATCCAGTTTTCAGATGAAGATTCCTTGCATCATATCCCTATCAGATTTGCCATTTTCATTTGCATACCATTGGTTATTTTGTTGTTTTGTTCCACACAAGTCATCCGATGCCTCAAGAAAAAACAGAATGCTAGTCTACACGAAGAAAGGTTAACCCAGAAAGCCATCTTTGTGATCTCTGTGAACTTGGGCACCTTCATCATATGCTTTTTGCCTTTCCACATAAGCCTGCTGCTTCAATATATAATGAACACAACTGACTGTAAGGTGCGCCGCATTATCAGCAATACCACACATGCAACTTCATTAATGGCAAATCTGAATTGTTGCTTGGATGCTATTTGCTATTATTTGGTTGCTAAGGAATTCCAGGAAGCTGCATCTCTTTTGCCTGTCTTTAAACCAATGCAGTCAAAATCCAATTTAACTGAAGATTTACAACTTTCAAGCTAAATTGCTAAAATGATGCTGTTGTTTGAAGATGCCTGCAGACTTATCCTTGGAGAGCTATGGACTTTATTCCATGCCCATGCCCCTGTTTTAAAACTTCTAAGCCACTGAGGCAATGAAAAGTGATGAAGCCCATCCCACGACGCAGGGGGGCTTCCTGTCCGCACCCATCACGATTTGGTAGTCAAACATCAGAAACAATCATAAAAAAGGGAGGGCGGAGAAAACAGTCTGAGATCATCTTCTTGACTCTCAAACTGGGATATTCCATTTCAAAAGTACAAAAATATGAAGGATAACACCTATCTGAATCACCCACATTGAATCGAATCTATGAAGTCGGCAAATAGGCTGTCCTGTGGATGGTGTCCTAACTAGCAGTGGTCTTGAGTACTCTACCATAATGTAGCTGCTCAATCCTTTTCGGATTAAAAAAAATTAAATTAAAAAAGATCACTATTATGACATATCCCTATTTTTCCTTGTCTTTAATAGTTTTTAAAAACACAAGTCTTGATACTGCAAGAGTTTGATCCTTCTTTTTATTTAATTTCCCTGAGCAAGAAGTAAGCTTTCTTTTGTCAGCTAAGAGACGACTGGCTTCTTGTTCTTTTTTTTCTTTTTTTTAGGAGAACAGATGCTTTTATTGCCCATCTTTTATAAAACAGCATAACTTTAGCCATTTTCTTTCCCAGCTTGACAATGTTTCTATACACACATGCACACACACAAACACCAGCAAGGCGCATTGAGGCGACTTTCCAATAGATAAAAATGTAACCAACCCAGCTGGGCATTTTGCCTAAATAAAAACCGACCTGCCTTTTCTGATCAGTGGCATTAACCCGTGCATAAAAGAAATCTCAGATTGCCATTCCTGCTAGCTAATTTCAAGTAAAAGTTAGGTTGGTCAGGGAAGAAAGCCTGGATAAAAGTGAGTCTGAATTATGCTGAAGCATAGGGCTACATATACTATCCATTTATAACTTAGCTTGGTTTGGTAAATGATATTTGCATGGTATGATAATGGTTGAAGTCTCTTGTTCTATTATAGAATAAAGCATTACTTCAACATGTGAATAGTGATGCACATATTATTTTCCAAATGATTTTGTGATATGCATATTATTTGTATTATTTATACCATCATGTTTGTCTGTTAATAAAATGTAACATGGACAGTCTTGCTTCGGGTGGCTAACACAGAAATTTAAAAATGCTTAGGCAAATATCAGAAAGTGGAAAAATCTGGGATTCTGTTCAATATCCCAAAGCTAATCTTAAATCATATTGTTTTTTGAATTTTTAGGCATGACATGAATATCATGTGGTGGTGGTCAATGTCTCCTTAGAACAGTGCCAGTCTGGCACAATTCAAAGCATTGGTTATGACCTTTAAAGCCCTAGACAGTTCAGGTCCAGGTTATTTAGCTGAACACATCAACTTGTACAAACCTGCCTGGGCCCAAAATCTTCAGGAGAGGTCATTCTCTCCGTCCCACCTCCATCTCAAGCTCAATTGATGGGAACAAGTGACTTCACGGTGGCTGCCCCTCAACTCTGGAACTTTCTGCTGAGGGAAGCCAAAAGGCAGGCTTTCAAAGAAGAGGGTTTTTTTTTAAAGATTGTCAGGGGCTGCTATGATTTTATGTGCTCTTAATGATGTTCAATACTGGTTTAACACTTGTATATTTTCAGTTGTATTGCTATGCTTTAGTTGTGAGCCATTTTGAGTCTCCGTATGGAGAGAAAAAGCAGAATATTAATATATAAAAATTATTAATACACATATAAATCTTTGGTGGATATAGATTTCTGTTACAAGCTTCCTTTCAGAATTAATAATGTTCGTAGTATACAGGGTGATACAGTGGTTGGAGGTGCCAACTTCTTATCCTGCATATATTTCTGGACAACAGTTCCCATAATCTCGGTTAGAGAGGAACTAAAACTGGGGAAACCGATGTTCATATCCCTAGTCAACTAAAAAGATGATAAGGTGATCTTGAGTTTATCAGTCTCTCATTCATGTAAACAGTCTGAAAAGGGATCTTGTTGCACTTTAGACAGGATGAAGTTTCTAGCGTAAGTCTTAGTTATGAAAGTTATACTAGTCTACAACTTACTCTTTGAAAGCTTATGCTATCAACTTAATTTTCTCAATTGGTCTCTAAGGTGCTAGAAGATCCCTTTTGCACATTGATATTTGAAACTAACATGGCTATATTTTTGAACTCTTGTAGGTAGATAAACTTGCTAAAAAGTCACAGAAATTTATATACAACCCACGTATGTAACAGCTGAAATGAGAGTTCAGCAGAAGGTATTTTGTGCCAGGAGCTCATTACCAATAGGTTTTCCCCTGGTCGGGATGCCTCTTAAGGCAATATAACATTCAAGGATGGGGACCAAAGCACACACCTAACACAATGAGATAGCCTACAAATGAGAATTTCTCTGTACAGGCACATCTTGGGATTTAAGTGTCATTTGTAAACTACATTGTAAATTTAGAGAAGTGCACACTGAAACACTGAATTTCCAGAATTACCCAAATAGCCACTTCTCCTTCTTAATACTCTTTATTTTCCACCCCGCCCCGCCCCCTTTTGAAATATCAAAGTTCCTAGAAGGGTCATTTAACCAAGATCCAGCTTTCATTTTACACTCTCTAAATTATTTTTTCACGTTGACTGCTATTTCACTTTGACTGCCCCTAAAGCAACTCTACCATAGGTTTTTCTTTAAAAATTATTGAAAAGTTTTGCCATTGCCTTTCTCTATATCTGGCAGTGGGTTTTCATGGCTGTCAGGAGATTTGACCCCTTGTCTTCAGAACTTCTAGTCCAACTCTCAGATCACTACAACACATAGGTTTTTGAAATGAGGCCTATCTAATCATGTAGCTGGTAGCAGAACAAGTGTACAAAAGAGTTTTGTTCTATGAGTACTAAAGTTTTGTTGATTAATTGATTTCATTTAGTACAAACAAAAGTAAATACAGACGTAAAAGAAACTAAGATAATATTAGGAATGGAGAAAGTGGAGCAAAGTAAGTTGTCTCCTAACATTAGAACTTGGCGTCATTCACAAAAGCTAAATGGTGGAACATTCAAGAGACACAAAAGGAATTATTTCTTTCACATGTGAAAATGCAACCATGTATTACAGCTCTACATTACTTTCTGAATCAGAAACAACATATCTCTGAACACCACTGTTTGTGGAGCAATGGTAGAAGAGGACAAATGCTGTTCTATCATGTTTATGTCATGCACGCAGGCCAGGTTTTTCCATTGTGGGAAGCAAGCAACATACTAGGCCTTTGATAGATCTAGCAAGACTCCCCAACACCAACAGAGATCAATGGAAAGTTCCATATGGTTACCTTCCTTCTCTTCCAACATCTAGGGTGCTAACTCTGGAATCAATGGCCATTTCTATAGAAACTCTTGCCAGGCAGCAAATAGACAAAAATGCATTCTGTGCAATGTCTGACTCTGTTTTTGTTTAGAGCAGTTTAGATACTTGTTTACTTAGATACTAGACAAGTATCTAAGTTTAGAGCAATGCTTTCCAAGCAATCTGATGCTGGGGACTGGCAGCTATGTTTTGCCAGCCTAGTAAGACATTTATACCTATAGGCTACAACTGACTGCTTCTTTGCTGGTAAGTCACCAGTGAGTGGCTCATGAATCAAAATCTTTTCATGGACCACTACTTTGAGAAGCATAGGCTTAAAGTACAAACTTTGAACCTGCTCATCCTAGCATCGGCATTGTAGTTCCTTTGCCTGTGCTTCAAGCTTTGCCTTCCTCTTTATGGCAAGAAAACAAACTTCAGTGGCAGCTGTATGTCAAGAAAAACATTGCTGTGATTAAAAAAAAGTTGATCCTAATCAGGAAGGAAGCTAACAGACCACACAACGAAGAAGCACCAAGAAGACGGCAAAACTGAGACAGACGATTGTGAAGTAGAATGTTAGAAAACATTTATGTCGAAGATGCCTTTTAAATGCTGGAAGGAAGATGTTCTTCAAAAGATTTATTGATGGCTTTGAAGATATGAGACTAGATCAAGGTAATGTTTACAGCTTCTATCTCTATTATTTTTATTACCCCATTTCATCATAAAGTTTCTTGCAGCTAGTTGATTGATATTGGTGACTGTATTTAAAGTAGGTGTGAGAAACTGCAGGCTAAGGGTCACATATAGCTAGCTTCCAAGTGGCTTTTTTGGTGGGTGGACGGGTTCCCCAACATTCACTAACACCAAGCCTCAAAGCCCCTCTGTTTCAAAAGATACTTTTGCCTTCAAATGGCAAATTGTTGTTCATGAAGCAGCATTTTACCTTTAGTCCTAGCCTCGGTTTCACAGCCCCCAAAATGACGTTGCTGGACACTGAAAGTCACAACCAGAACTGACTTTCGATTTTTGGCAGATAGAGTCAATGGTTGTTTCATTGTTAGTTGAAAGGTATGTCTATTCTGGCTTTTAATCCAAACTAGATAGGAGCATTCCAAGGTACTAAACCTGATCCCCAAAATAGGTTCAACATCCTAAATATCTTCTTTAAAACTTAGACTGAAAGCCAGAGAGCCACCAGCCACCATTTCTGATACCCACCTACACTGCAGTTGCTCTCTTGCCTCATTAAAGTTGTAGAACTAGGACTAAGCTCTCATTCTCTGTTTATTATTGAAATATATTAGCTATCTGTTCATACACTTCAGGATATATTGCTGTTGTGCTTTCAATTTTCAAGTTATATTTCCACCTTTCCAGATAAAGTGCCCTCAGAGATGCTAAAAATAATATATATGACAAAAACAATAAATCATTAGCAATTTATTATTTACTAGCTGTGCCCTGCCACGCGTTGCTGTGGCCTATAGTAAAACTTATCAAAGTTGAGGTAGATATCTGGACTATTATGAAAGAGAGGTACCTACCTATTCCTTCCCCCTTTTCCTCCCCCTTTCTCTCCTTTCTTCCTTCTCTACCTCTTTCTTTCTTTCCTTCTTTCACTACTTGGTTTCATCCTTCTCTCTTTCCTTCATTCCCTCCCCCTTTCTTCCTTTGCCTTTCTTCCCTCCCTGTTTGCTTCCTTCTTTCACTTTTTATTTCCTTTTATTTTACCACCATCATAACAATAACAATAATGCAATGCATTGCCTCTGGGACCTGACACCTCTCCCATTCCCCCAGGGTCTCATAGGAACAATAGCATAATAATAATAATAATAGAAATAACAACCTTTACCCGCCACGTGTTGCTGTGGCCAATCTTCCCTCTTTCTCTCCTTCTTTCCCTCCTTCCTTGTGGGGTTGCGTGTGTGCGTGCGGCGGCGGGGGGAGTGATGGAGCGTGGGGTTGCGTGTGTGTGTGCGGCGGCGGGGGGAGTGGGGTTGCGTGTGTGTGTGCGGCGGCGGGGGGAGTGATGGAGTGTGGGGTTGTGTGTGTATGTGCGGCAGGGGTGTGTGTGTGTGCGGGAAGCGGCGCGGCGGGGCTTGGAGTGGGCATGGTTTCCGCAGAGGGAACGTTGGCCGGAAGGCATGTGCGCGCGCCAGGGAACTTGCGGCTGGGCGCCAATGCGCATGCTCAGTTGTTTTGCCGTTTTGTGAGTGTGTTGTTGTGTTGTTTTTCATTTTGAGTAGATATGTTTGTACCTTGTGGGTTGTGTTATGGGCATGGGAATTTTGGTTAAGTTTCGTTGGGGTTTTTGAGTTTTGTTGTTTTGCCGTTTTGTGAGTGTGTTGTTGTGTTGTTTTTCATTTTGAGTAGATATGTTTGTACCTTTTGGGTTGTGTTATGGGCATGGGAATTTTGGTTAAGTTTCGTTGGGGGATTTTTGAGTTTTGTTGTTTTGCCGTTTTGTGAGTGTGTTGTTGTGTTGTTTTTCATTTTGAGTAGATATGTTTGTACCTTGTGGGTTGTGTTATGGGCATGGGAATTTTGGTTAAGTTTTGTTGGGGTTTTTTGAGTTTTGTTCTTTTGCCGTTTTGTGAGTGTGTTGTTGTGTTGTTTTTCATTTTGAGTAGATATGTTTGTACCTTGTGGGTTGTGTTATGGGCACAGGAATTTTGGTTAAGTTTCGTTGGGGGATTTTTGAGTTTTGTTGTTTTGCCGTTTTGTGAGTGTGTTGTTGTGTTGTTTTTCATTTTGAGTAGATATGTTTGTACCTTGTGGGTTGTGTTATGGGCATGGGAATTTTGGTTAAGTTTCGTTGGGGTTTTTTTGAGTTTTGTTTCTCCGTTGGATGCCCCTAACAAATTTATATATATAGATTTATTTATTTCCAGAAGTTCTACCCCATCCTTCTCAACCCCCGGAGGGGGACTCAGGATGGCTTACACTCGGCAACCATTTGATCCCGCAACATATAATAGATATATAAGATATACACGCACACATCCTATACAGGTGAGGCAATAAGCAAAGGAAGTCCCCTAGAAGTCATCAGACAACATAAGAGGACTTCCAATGGGATTCCATGGCACGCCATTTCCCAAGCGCATGGAAACAGAGCACAAAGACCTCTGTCAGAAGTCAGGTGTCAAGTGACTCCTAATAGAGAAAAACAGGGTAAAGCGGAGGAAAGATGGGGGAAGGCCACCCCTGAGGAAAGATGGGCATGGCGATCCCTGAGGACAGGGAAAGACAGGAGGGAATGGCATAAGACGGTTCTCTCCACTTTCCCCCCACCTCTCTGATGAGGTCCTCAGTCTAGGAAGTCAAGGCCCTTCACCTGCAAGACCTAAACAGGCCTGTTGATAATGTGACTTTTGCAGCTCTCATTAATGAGATGGCAAATAGTCAAAGGGTGCATCCCTGCTGCAATCTGCAGCTACTCTAGCTGGCATGGAATCATGGAAATTGCAGTTTTACAAGATCTTTAGCTTTCTTTTGCCAAATAGTGCATGTGTCTCACCAAACTACAACTCTCATGTTTCCATAGAATTGAGCCACAGCAGCGCAGATACACCCAAAGTCAACTTGATGACCACTAACAAGTATTTAAATTGTGACTGGAAACAGATTGGCAGCCACTGTAGGTATTGCAGCACATATTGTAACATGTACCCTACAACTGACTCTGGCCAACATGGAGCCATGAGTTACACTCAGCTGGTGGCTATACCAGAAGTGCAAGGAGTGCAAATCAGTAGAACTCACAAATCCATAAAGGCCAAGGAACTCTCAATAGAACACTCACATCTTCAAAATATATTTCTTGCTTTAAAGCCTTACCCGGGCAACATTGCTGATTTTGTGGGATTCTTTTCGGCTTGTTTACCCTGGGGATGTGGAGGAGGTCCTTGGTGCTGTGAGGGCAACCACATCGGCTCTGGACCCTTGCCCGTCTTGGCTAATTAAATTGGCTAGGGAAAGTAGAAAAAATATAAATAACAGTCAAAGGCATATAGATATATCTGTCCTAAAAGGAAAAGAATTGCCAAAAATTGTTGTTGAAGGCTTTCATGGCCGGAATCACTGCATTGCTGTGAGTTTTCCATATTGTATGGCCATGTTCCAGAAGCATTCTCTCCTGAAGTTTCGCCCACATCTATGGCAGGCATCCTCAAGTGAGGTTTATATATCTGTGGAATGTCCAGGGTGGGAGAAAGAACTCTTGTCTTTTTGAAGTAAGTGTGAATGTTGCAATTGACCACCTTGATTAGCATTGAATGGCCTTGCAGCTTCAAAGCCTGGCTACACAAAGAAGCCATTGAAATCTATAAGCATGTGGACAATTTCAACAGAAAGGAGGAAACCATGGAAATGAACAAAATCTGGCTACCAGTATTTTTTTTAAAAAAAAACTGAAATCAGAACAGTAAATAAAGAGCAACACTCAAAAAACAGGGGAATTCCAGTCAAGAATCAATCAGGGCCAGCTAACACTTCGAACAAAACATTCCCCAGGCAGCAACCAGCCAGGCTTTGAAGCTGTAAGGCCATTAAATGCTAATCAAGGTGGTCAATTGCAACACTCACAGTTGCCTCCAACAGACAAGAGTTCTTTCTTCCACCCTGGATATTCCACAGATATATAACCCTCACTTCCCAATTTCCAACAGACCTCACAAAGGATGTCTTTCATAGATGTGGGTGAAACGTCAGGAGAGAATGCTTCTGGAACATGGTCATACAGCCTGGAAAACTCACTGCAACACAGATTACTAGAAAGTTGTTAAAAAGAAGAATATAAAAAAGAGGGAGACAAAAAAATATGAAAAAAAATAAGAATTCAGACCATGAAGGTTACAGGCTCTGGAAAATCATTAAGAACAAGGAGATGACTGTAACTGGAAGAGCATGACAGGTTTTTGAAGTTATCTCTAATATTGGAGGCTGCTAGCATCTAAGCAGTGATATGCAAATAATCTCTATCTAAAAGACATGTTTATTATCTGTTCGAATTTAAATCTCAGTTTCGTCCCAAGAAATGATGACTGTTGCATTCACTGCTACAATTAAGTTACCACAAAAAAATAACAGCCCACCTTTTCCTATGGTGTTATCAAATATCAATGCTGAACCAGAGATTGTGCTATGATAATATCAACAGAGAGCTAGCATTTTATAATCTACATAGCCCTTACCACTGCCAAAGTACAAAAAGCACAACCTCTTGATGACAATTTTGATACAACTGCTGCATTTACTACAGGATACGTGTGGCTGATCAACTTCTCGCCAAACGATAGAGAGATAATATTTGACAGGCAGCATATAAAAAGCCAAACGCTGTTTTGGCTAAATGATGGTTGGAGATCCTTTAACAATATTACTATATATGATGCTTTTTTGACCCAGGAACCTGAGACAGCAAGCTACCTGGTGAAGTTGCAAGAAGAAAGGACAGTCAGGGGTGTAAGTTGAACAGCCACTCTCATCATCTTTGAAAGACAATGAACCATGGCGAGGTCACTTCTGTGACAAGATCTTAACAGAAAGAGAGAACCCAAGCCTGTTTCAGAAGAGTACTTTGAACACTCAGATTTGGCTCTGTGAAGATTTAGCAGGCTATTGGTCCCAGGTAAGGCATTTGTTTCAGTCACCTTGCCTCATTCATATTTCCAGGTTCCCAGGCTTCATCAGCTTTCATTTCTAAATTGCCATGTTTTCCCAACGGGTTTTCCTTTTTGTTCCTGTTTTCTTTCCATCTTTTAAGAAAATCTTTAAAGGGGAAGGACTGAATAGTTGCACATTGTCTTTTTAAACTGTATAATAGAGTCTCGCTTATCCAACATAAATGGGCCGGCAGAATGTTGGATAAACAAAAAAGGTCGGATAATATGGAGTCTCCTACTGTTACCCGTCCAACACGGAGCTAGACATCTAGAATACTAACAACAGGGACTCAAAGGGTTAGGGCAAGGCAATGCCTTGGGGCTAGAGCAGCCCAGCAGGAAGTGTCCGAATGCGGAAGAGGAGGGTGGAAATCACAGAGAGAAAGAGGGAGGATGCTACCGCTTCCGGTCCTGCCTCTTTTCCCCCTTCCCTCCCTCCTCCTTCTCGTATTGTCTTTTTTCATTTATTGGGAATGGAGAGTTGGAGAGCGCTCCTTTAATTGAAGGGGAAATGCTGGAGGAAAGGGGGGGCACTGGATAAGAGCATCGGATAAGACGGAATGTCGGATGTGTGAAGGTCAGATAAGTGAGACTCTAACATATTTTAAGTGTGAAACATAGGGCCCTTCCACACAGCCATATAACCCAGAACATCAAGGCAGATAATCCACAATATCTGAGTCCACACTGCCATATAACCCAGTTCAAAGCAGATAATGTGGAATTTTATACAGCTGTGTGGAAGATGAGTTGAATTATGGATTTGCTTTCAAAAGAGCTCCACTCATGAAAGGCCTCTTCTAGTTTCTAAGTCCTGTTCCTATACCAGAGCCTACCCTATTCAAGAAGGTCCCCTGATCTCTTTGTAGAGTTTCTAAAGGGGGTGCCATGGAGCTTGTTGCACCCATATAAGTCTAAACCAAAAATAATTATTACCCAGAGCTTAAACAAGTTCTAATTTGAATAAAAACACCCAGGCTGCTGCTCAAATTCAGTTGGGGGTCCTAGGAATTGTAGATCAAAAAGGAGTTTTTTGAAACTCTGATGTTAGCATGAATGATGATACAGTGACTATAACTATATTTCTTTCACAGCACCAGCACAGTAATGAACCAAGACAAAATGCACGAAACCATCTGCAACATCACTGAAAGTCAACTCATATACATCATTGAAACATGTGTTTACATTCCAGCTTTCATCTGCGGATTCTTCTTAAATGTTTGGGCCTTGGGGATGTTCTGCTGCAAACTGAACAAATGGAATGAAACTAGAGTATACATGACCAATTTGGCTGCTGCAGACTGTTTATTTGTCTTGACATTGCCTGTCAGTTTAGTTTTTAAGACAAAGTCTGTCAATACAGTGTGTCATGTCTTGGAGTCTGCATACTTTGTCAACAGGTACATGAGTGTCTTCCTGATCACTATAACTGCAATTGATCGATACATTGCTATAGCATACCCCCTCAAAGCAAAGAGTATAAGGTCCCCTCAGAAGTCAGCAATTGTCTGTGGATTTCTCTGGACCTTACTTATAAGTATAATATGTACAGTGAAATTTGCAGATGAACGATCTGAGCAAGAAATTTGTTTTATAAAAGTTACCAAAAAACCATCAGTATTTCTTTTAGCATCTGTCATCTGGGGATTTTTAATACCTTTAGCCATCCTGAGTTTCTGTTCCATTCGAATCACAACTAAACTCATAAAGAAGAAACACACCCATCCACAAGAAGTAAAGCTCATCCAGAAAGCAATCAACATAATTTTTGCAAATATGATGGTGTTCATCATATGCTTTTTACCCCTTCATGTGGCACTCTTCATTCGGTTCATTGCTGATTTCAGAAAAGCCAGCTGTGCTGTAATGGAAAATATTGAATTATATGTCCGCCTGGCAGCTATTCTTGCCAACACCAACTGCTGCTTGGATGCCATTTGCTATTACTTTGTAAACAAGGAATTTCAGGAAGCTTCCCTGAAACTATCCACAAAATATTTATCACATTTAAATCAAGGATCTGAAAAACAGGACTCTGAAAATATGTAGTTTAAAAAGCAGTCAAATAATGCTGAGATCTGCAAACTCGTCCCCGGCTGCTGCTTCTAGTCCCTGAAGGGCATCTACACTGTAGCATTAATGCAGTTCGACATCAGTTTAACTGCCATGGTTCAATGCTACATAATTCTGGATCTTTTTTTTAAAAAAAAATTCTGGAGACACCAGCATTCATTCACAAAGAAGGCTGAAAAACTCGTGAAACTACAATTCCCATGATTCCCATGACAGTTAAAGTGATGTCATACTGCATTAATTCTATAGTGCAGATGCACCTGAGGATTTGATTGTCATGTTTTAGAACATTTGAGGCCCAAGAAGCTTTTTTAAAGCTGGATGTCCAAAAGGATCTTCTTGTTTAATTCCTTTGCTGGGGGTTGGGAGCGGACAGTGGTTTAAGGCTTGGTGCAATGGGTTAAATCCTTGTGCCAGTTGAACTGCTGACAGAAAGCTCAGCAGTTCAAATCCAGGGAGTGGAATGAGCTCCCATCTCTCAACTCCAGCTTCCCATGCGGGAACATGAGAGAAGCCTCCATAGGATGGTAAAACATCCGGGCATCCCCTGGGCAATGTCCTTGCAGATGGCCAATTCTCTCACACCAGAAGCGACTTGCAGTTTCTCAATTCACTTCTGACACACACAAAAAATCTAATGGGACCCCATACAATTCACATTTGGAGCCACTAGACAAAAAGCTTATTTCTCCCTGAATGCTAACTGACCATTGCTGGAGCCTTACAGGGATCCCCTGGGAATTATCAATGTATGATACTGAAGGGTTTTCTACCACATTTTATTTGATCCTCTGTATCTGATCTACCATATTTTCCAGTGCTAAAACTTGAGAGTGATAAGGCTTTATTGCTTTTTCTCAGATTTGGGAAAGTTTCATTTGTGGTCTATTAAATTCAAAACTCCAGCCAAAACTGGCCATCTTGACTAGTTGGGGGTATCGAGGATTCTAGTCCGAAATTTAACGTTTCCAAATTACTCCTTGATAAATTGGGAACTTTTGGCAAGTGAAATTGGGTGAAGAAGATATTTCCTTGAAACTATCTCAAATAGTATTATAGTTTGTCTTTCTTGGTATTTTCCGTGGTGTTCAAATTGCAAGATTTCACATTTATATTCCACCTGTTTTCAACTATTTTGAATGTTAATGTTTACTTGTTAAGAGGTATTTTAATGTGTCCTGTAAAGAAATAATGGTCAATATATATACAAAATACTACAGTGGTACTTTGTAAATGCTCGGACCGTAGAGAGAACTTTTATTTCAGAATTGTTTTGAATAACTGCTGGTCAGCTAACATCAAGTGCTTCGTCCATGGTTAGGTTTTTTTTTTTGGGGGGGGGGAGGTAATATTTAAAACAATACTCCCAAGATTTACCTTTCTTGTCCTTAAAAAGAAATTCACTGCTCTGTATTTTTAAATATATATGTTTATGTTTTGAGACTCAGAGGAGATGGAAGACCTGGTTCATGATTTACTATACTGCATTTTGTTGTAACACCAGGCCTCACTTCTTGGGAAATCTTCTGAGAGAAAGAGCCACTTGATATTTTCTGTGATATGTTAGCTGATCATACCAAATCTATTATAATTGAGCCCAAAAGATTCACTGCAGATTCCTAAAAAGATCAGCAACAGATTGCAAAGGGAATCCATTGTCCTAGGGCCCTTCCAAATAGTCCAGGTCGTGTTCTGACCTACAAGAAGCAAGGCCTGAATATCAAGCAAAAAGTGGGTGCTAGAAACAATATCATATGAAAACTGACTGGCACAACCTGGGGATCACAACCAGATACAGTGAAGACATCTGCCCTTGCGCTTTGCTACTCTGCTGCTGAGTATGCTTGCCCAGTGTGGAACACATCTCACCATGCTAAAACAGTGGATGTGGCTCTTAATGAGACATGCCGCATTATCACGGGGTGTCTGCGCCCTACACCACTGGAGAAATTACACTGTTTAGCCGGTATTGTACCACCTGACATCCATTGGGGAGTAGAAACCAATAGTGAAAGGACCAAGGCAGTGACATCTCCGGCCCACCCCTAGTGATCCTGAGGAACCAGGACATATGAAAGGATTGTGTGGATAGGCTCCTGGGGACTCTTTCCAGCTTTGAAGAAAGATTTCAAGCCCTTGAGCAGGAGATGGGCATCCTCGCCCAGTTCACCCAAGAACTCTCTCAAGTCGATAATGAAGCCATCTGGGGCTAATGAAGACATTTCCAAGTAGCCCAAACAAATACCACCCCCAGCACACCAACGACTTAAATCAAAAAATTGTTTTCTAAGATCTACTCGCTGGAACATCTCAGCAAGCGAGAGTCCAAGTGGCAGGCTCAAACCCAGAACCTCAATCAATGGTTGATACCAAATGAGAGACTCCCTCCTGGGCACAGAGAAAACTGGGTGATTTGGAAGGCGCTGAACAGACTGCACACTGGCATCACAAGATGCAGAGCCAACCTTAAGAAATAGGGCTACAAAGTGGAATCTACAACATGCGAGTGCGGAGAAGTGCAAACCACAGACCACCTACTACAATGCAGTCTGAGCCCTGCCACATGCACAATGGAGGAGCTTCTTGCAGCAACACCTGAGGCACTCCAAGTGGCCAGCTACTGGTCAAAGGACATTTAATAGAATGCCAAGTTTGCAAACTTTGTGTTTTGTTTGTTTGTTTTTAATGCAATACAACTGTTTTGGTTCGCTCCTAAAACAATAAATAAATAGCCCAGGTTTTCTGTTTATTCCAGATTATCTGGCAGTATGGACGAATATAATCCAGTTTAAAGCAGAAAACCTGCAATCAGATCCTGGGATATAGGGCCTGTCTGAAAAGGCCCTTAGTTGCCACTCTCAGTGTTGGCTTGCCATAATATATTTGGCTTTGTTGTTTTATTTCTTACCTTATATGTAATTCCTTTGCCATGCATGAATTAGTGTTCTCGTCATCTGATACTTTTCAAGCAGTTATGAACATAATGTTTTGTAATGGACACTGTGTCATAAATAAAACCAAATGTTCAACTTCAACCAAATTGTAAACCGACTCTGTTTATTGACAAAGAAATGTAGCCCTTTGTTATTGGAAAGCACTGGGAAGAAACTAAAAGGAACCAGAAAGAAAGATCTAATAATGAAGTCTAGCCCCAAAATAATACCTCCAAATTTAATAGCCATTATTATCAGATCTTCCTCAGACAGTATTTCACTGCCTGGATTTTTGGTGTAGGATAGGATAGAAATGTTTTAACTGTTGTGCTGGGCAAATTTGTTTTATTGATTTTCGAAAAATGCAAAAAAAAAACAAAAAACAAAAACCTTGCAGTATCATATTTGAAGTTAATCATTTTCCGTGAAATATACTGTAAGTCTGAATTGGGGTGATTCAAGGATAATTCTTGATTTTATGGTGTGAGATTATACCACACCATAAAATCTCACACCATAAAATACCCAACTCCTTCTGCACCTGGAGCCTGGAGCAACGTCAATTCCAGACAATTTCACCCTATGTCTCGAAGCTCTGTCAAACTGGCTATGTGCTAGCAGACTGAAGGTGAACCCGGTGAAGACTGAGATTCTCTGGCATGGCCGCCCGGCAGGTCTGACTCCTCCATTACCCACCTTCGATGGTGGCGCCCTATCTCCATCGACCACTGTTAAGAGCTTAGGTGTCATCCTGGATTCACAGCTGACAATGGAAGCTCAGGTCGCTGCTGCCAGCAAACAGGCCTTTTTCCATCTACGACAAGCGAGGCAACTGGTACCCTTCCTATCTGAGGAGGCTCTGGCAACTGTCATCCATGCCACGGTCATGTCTAGGCTGGACTATTGCAACACCCTCTATGTGGGCCTTCCGATGTCTATGACCCGAAAGCTTCGTATTGTTCAGAAAGCAGTAGCCAGGTTACTCACAAGAACGCCCATGAACTGCCATATAACACCAGTGCTGCAACATTTACATTGGCTTCCAACTGAGTACGTGGCCTGTATAAGATGCTAGTTCTGACCTTTAAAACTCTTTACGGCCAGGGTCCATCGTACCTTAGGGACCGCCTCTCCTTCTCCCATCATCGGAGGTCGCAACGACCAGCCCAACGTGACTTACTCTATATACCGGGTCCTAGAGAAGTGCACTTGGAAAGGACCAGACGCAAGGCCTTTTCTATTTCTGCCCCTGCCTTGTGGAATTCCTTGCCGCCCTACATGAGAGCCATGCGTGACTTAGGGCCTTTTACTCTCGCACTTAAGACCTGGCTTTTTACTAGAGCATTCGATCTCTGTTAATTTTTAATTTTTGTATGTATGTATTTTATCTTTTATAATTTAGCTGTAAATCGCCTAGAGCATTCTTGGATGGAGGGCGATTAATAAGTTATTAAATGATGATGATGATGATGATGATGATGATGATGATAAATGCCTTCACAAACTCAAAAAGCAAGACTTCATAGGCTTAAAGCTCCAAAGGTGGGGGAAGTGTTGATGCACTCTTGGGCAGATAAAAATCTTTCATAAAGCATAATGCAATATACAAATAGTACAAAAATAATAATTCTAAAATCACAGACATATACAGACTGAGCACTCTCCTATCAAAATGCTTGTGATCAAAAGTGTTTTGTATTTTGGATTTTTTTTCTTTAGGTTTTTGAATACGTAATGAGTAATCTTGAAGTCTAAACATGAAATTTATGTGTTGTCGAAGGCTTTCATGGCTGGAATCACTGGGTTGCTGTGAGTTTTCCAGGCTATTAAGACCATGTTCCAGAAGCATTCTCTCCTGATGTTTCTCCCACATCTATGGCAGGCATCCTCAGAGGTTGTGACAGCTGCTATAGATGCGGACAAAACGTCAGGAGAGAATGCTTCTGGAACATGGCCATTCAGCCCAAAAAACTCACAGCAACCCAATGAAATTGATGTTTCATATAGACTTTATACACATACCTGCAGGTGATTTTTCAATACAGTAGTTTAAATTATTTTGGACATGGGATAAATTTTGTGTACATTGAACCGCCAGAATACAAAGGCATCAGGCAGACAATACTAGATTCTGGAGTATTTTGGATTTTAAAATCTCAAGCTATAATAACACACAGTAGAATCAACAGCAAGAATCAGCAGATAGGCAAGTGCTTCATTTGTTTATCTCATGAATTATTTTCAACTGATACTTACATGGCAGTAACAAGTGGAACTGCAATAATAATAACAATAATAATAATAATCTTGAAATCCCAGGCAACAGCAGGATTGCAGAGAAACAACTGGAAAAGCTGACACAATACGAGGATTTAAAGATCGAACTACAAAGACTCTGGCACAAGCAAGTAAAGGTGGTCCCAGTGGTGATCAGCACACTGGGTGCAATGCCTAAAGACCTTGGCCTGCACTTAAACACAATCAGGGCTGAAAAAAATACCATCTGCCAGCTGCAAAAGGCCACCTTACTGGGAATTTCCGAACAGGCCTAGACAACTATGAGAGGGCTGGACTAGTGTAACAAAGTAAACTAGGGCCAAGGGAGTGGATAAAGTGCAAACAGGGTCCTGCCTGATGGTCAGGGTGGGACCTGGGGCTATTTATTTCCAAGGCTAGTTGAACAGCTATAGAAGGGCTGGAACTGAGAGAGACTGCCATAGCTAGTTTCTGGTAATATGTGTTCCTTTTATGTGGTAAATGAATATGTGTTGGTAGGTATGGTTTAAACATAAGGAACTGTTATCTGGGAATTGAGTTCTAAGTTTATTTTGAGCTGACCAAAAAGTAAAAGAAAAAAAATATTTTCTTCCAGTGGCACATTGATTGAAATACACACTGGTAGCATCTATGTGCTGAATGTTGTTCCAATGATATAATTTATGTTGTACTGTATTGTGAACATCCCATTTTAGCCAATATGAAATTTAAAAAATCATGCATGACTTTTGACACTGAAAATGTGTGAACTGTGCATTAATGGGCCAAAGATATAAAAACAAATCATCTGTAAGACTACAAATCTACAAATAGTTATAAATGGCAATACAAAGATACAATAAACCAACACATGGCCTTTTTTACTTTGTTTACTCAGAGTTTAACGGAAACATGTCCTCAGTGACACTGCCTCTTCTACAGAAAAATGTTGTTAAGGATTAGGCAAGATCAGTTTATTCAGGCAACCCGTCTTAGAAAAGAAGGAATCAAAAACAGCCAGGGTTTTGCAATAGCTAGCTACTTCTCACAGTTGAAAACAGTAATGAATAGTTTAATCTGAGTTCTGTGTCAAATTTTTATATGAGTCCATTCTGCAAATAG